CCGGCCATCTTTTTATTGGCTCCCGCGCGAACGGGCCATTCCCCGGTGAGTTTTTCGTGCGGAATACGTCGTCCCCGCGGGCGTGCACCACGCTTTTATGATAATCCGTCGAACGATTGCCCCGGCGATGTGAACTTTCCAGAGGTGAAAGATCGTATCGAGCCGTTTGCGAAACGCGAGGATCGTGGGCGCCGTTATCGCGATCCGAAGCGCAATCGCCGTTTTATCGGTACCGAAGTCGACCGGTGTCGGCTTGATACGGTATTATTTGCGAATGACAGCTGCGAAGAGTTACACAGATGTTGGCAACATTTTTAAAGGGAAAATGATGTGCTTTAATTTTTCTGATATTGATTCAATGCTTCGTAACGTTGGACATTGTATTTTTTAATTCTGAAAACATTTTTCACTTCCTTATGTGATTGAAGTTTTGCAATCTACTTGGGAGAATAAAAGTAATTAGTGTTTCGAAGTGTGGCTGCACCTTTGCACATTCTGCTAATAGAGGGCTTCTTGCTCAGTCCTTAGTGATTTATATAAATACCTTCCGTGAACCTTCAACGTTTGACCCTGCGTGTAAAACAGAGGTCTACTAGAAAGCCTCACTGACGAGACCCCTGATAGATCCCGAATGAAACGCCTTCCTCCTTCACTTTCCTGTTTTCTTCAATCATAGCCTCCTTCAATAATAGCGCCGCTTCAAAAGTCACGATTTTATGGATATTCGTTTATTCAATGTGTCTAGACTCTAGACTCTAAGGTCTAGAGTCTAATCTATGTGGATAATAATATTAGAGTCTTTTAAGTATAAGCATGTTTCGAATTATCAATTAAAACAAAAGAGAAGCTATTCACTTGAATACTTCTATTAATTGCTTCTTCGGTATTGTAATCAAAATTAGAAAAAAATAAATCTGGCCCATGGGGGGATCGAACCCACGACCTTCGCGTTATTAGCACGACGCTCTAACCAACTGAGCTAATGGGCCCACGACCAGCGCTGTCGATTTTACAATTCTCATGCTGGAGATGACGAATCAGAAATTTATAAAAAAATAAACTTT